AACTTAATACAAACTTGTCTCAAGATTCTTCCGTTATACTCTCGTTCCTTGAATAACTTACTTTCATAAAAAACCATACTGTGAATTTTTAGTATGGTTAATAAATTGTTAACTACTTAGTACGTTAACCTGTAAAGAAAATGGTCTTTTCATTAAAAAAGAAAGAGCATTTCTACAAAATTTTCTTCGAAGTACATTCGTTAAATTCCGAACTCACGAACGTTACCCTTGTTTCATTGCGATTGTATTTGGGTAAATGTAAATTAATTAATTAATAAAATACCGGAACAAATTAAATTTAACATATTCTTACATCTTTTCTTTATTCAAAAAAAGGACTTTTTTTAAAAGTTTTCTGTTAGGTTAATAAGTCAAAACTCACGTATGATATCAGGTTTTCATTATAAATTGCCGTTTTAATAAGAAATGCAAGGTTTTTTTGTTAAAAAAAAAAAATGGTTTTAAAGGCATTTAATCAGTTATAATTTTTTACGAGCATTAAAATGGGAAATGCTCGTGCGTGTACAGTACTTGTGAAAGTTGTCGTGGGGAAATTGATTGAAACGATGTAATATTTATATCAAACATATAAACAGATCGTCAAATTACAATTACTTTTTTTTATTTATAAAAAAAGGTAATTATGCGTATACAATATATTACGTATATTGCGTCAACGACTAAAATCCAGATATTATATCAAACCTTTACTATGATCATAATTTTAATTGCGTTATGCCATTCTTTATTCAGAAAATTTGAATGAACAAAAAATGATTTTCAAAAAATATCATTAAAATTAAAGGAATTTTATAAACCTTTCTATTTAAAAAAAGAATCACTATCGCTATAACCACCTATAATATCAAATAATATAATCGATAAAGTAAATAAAAAAATATCATTAATAACAAAAAAATAATAGATACTATTGAATATTTAAATATATTGAAGGCAGAATATATACGTACGTACTCTGTGATAGATTCAATCACTGTAATATCAAGCCTTGAACTTTCATATGCGATGCTTGTGCAGGGCATCCAACCAATCATTTATTTGTTTATATGAGGGACTGAATCGTGGCTTCATCGAAGCGATTATTCGTGGTATGAGTTTGTCATAGGATATCTGCGTTCGACTCACTCGTGAATTTTTCATCGTATTTCAATGTAAATTCAGGAGGCATCATCTTGAGGATTATCTTTATTTCATCAGTCTATAATATAATTCAATTTTCAGTCACAGTGTTGGGTTTGAGACAGATTTTTAGGATTTGATAAAGTTTTGGACAAGTTTTGGACAAACTTCCCAACAGTATAAAAAATTTGCAAAATAAGAAATTGAATCGTTTGTTATAATTACTGCATGATTAAACCTAGTTTTATAAATAAAATTGAAATTTCTAAATTAGTTAGAAATCAATTACAATTATATAAATTTGCTATAGTATCGCATCTTTCTCACGCAAGCCAAATACTGTAATATTCAAATTCATTTCTGCGTTCTTTCGAAGAATGCTTTGATATATCCAATATCTCCGGTAACTTTATACTACCCTATATAAATGCTAGAAATAAAAACTCACATTCTCATATTATAAGAACGACTTGCTTGATGTTCCTTCTTCTCTCTCAGTCTCTTCTAATCCTTTCTAGGGATTGGAATCGAAAATCGAATCTTTTCAAGATTTTTCTTATAGACGACCAACCTGACTTTGAATCAGTTTCTAATTTCAGCAAAAATAATCAGCACTTGAGCCGGCATGAAAAATTACTTTGGAGTCAGGTTAACTTACATGTAAAAAATTGCTGAGAATCGATTCTCGAGAATCGATTTTACTATGTTTTGTCGATTTTCGATTAATCGATTCCAATCCCTAAATCCTTTCGACGTCAACTGTAAGAATTTCTCACCGAAATCTCCTGTAAATTATTTTTGATTTTGAATAATTTCATGGTGTTAGTATAAATATGTGAAAATTATGAAATATTCTAGATTATTTATATTATTTAATACTAAATAATATCCCCATTATTCTAACGATCTCGGAAAAAAAAATAGTATTGAATATTAAACGATTCTCTAAAAAAATCATTTTGATTCTTATCAAGTTTACATTTTTTTTAAAAAAAAAAATACAATTACTTACTCGCTATATCAGATATACTTTTAATTGCTCTTTCTTTTTGGCATCATATTGTATAATACTTAAAAATCACTTCATGGCACAAAACACATTTTTTAACCTTTAAGAATCGTATCTAATTAATTTTTTATATTATTTTTTTTTTTTATAAAACAATTCAGAAAAAAAAAATACAACAATGAATTTGAATCAAAACAAACCTTGTTTAATAAATTAAACATTGCTTTTAATTACTTTTGATTTTTTTCTAGCATTCTATGAAAAACCACTTTTTAGGGAAGAAGGTACATTCCAACTATTGCAAAAAGTTTTTTGTTAAAAATTCACGTGGTAGCACATAACCTAACCATCATTGATCATAAGATCAAAATCGATTATCAGTTATCAAAGTTATCATCTATCTATATGTTCATATTATGTGTCACGTCTAACCAGGTAAAAGATCAGGTTTATCAGGTTAAACATACCATGAAAAATGCTTATATATATCGGCTTTTTTTGATACTGGGCTGGGATGCTAAGGGAGGGTAAGTTTCGTAATGATTTTCGTTACGAAACTTTATTATTGTTTAATTTTTTAAAGGAACGTTACTAAATACTAACGTAGTAAAAATTTATTTTAATTATTTTCGACAAAAAAAAGGTAAGAAAAATTTTTTTTTAAGAAATAATTTACAATCATGTCGAAGAAGAAATATTTTTCTTAAAAAAAAAAANCCCTATATAAATGCTAGAAATAAAAACTCACATTCTCATATTATAAGAACGACTTGCTTGATGTTCCTTCTTCTCTCTCAGTCTCTTCTAATCCTTTCGACGTCAACTGTAAGAATTTCTCACCGAAATCGCCTGTAAATTATTTTTTGATTTTGAATAATTTCATGATGTTAGTATAAATATGTGAAAATTATGAAATATTTAATATTTAAATAATATCCCCATTATTCTAACAATGTCTGGAGAAAAAAAAAAATCATTTTGATTCTTCAAGTTTACATTTTTTTAAAAATACAATGCTTACTCGCTATATCAGATATACTTTTAATTTGCTCTTTCTTTTCGGCATCATATTGTATAATGCTTAAAAATCACTTCATGGCACAAACCAAATTTTTTAACCTTTAAGAATCGTACCTAATTAATTTTTTTTATTATTTTTTTTTTTATAAAAAATTCAGAAAAAAAATACAACAATGAATTTGAATCAAAACAAACCTTGTTTAATAAATTAAACGTTGCTTTTGATTACTTTTATTTTTTTCTAGCATTCTATGAAAAATCTTTTTTTAGGGAAGAAGTTACATTGGCAAAAAGTTTTTTTTTAAAAAATTCACGTGGTAGCTCATAACTATCATTGAATCATAAGATCAAAATCGATTATCAGTTATCAAATTTATCATCTATCTATATGTTCATAAGGTTTATCGGTTTAAACATATCATGAAAAATGCTTATATATATCGGCTTTTTGATACTGGGCTGGGATGCCAGGGAGGGTAAGTTTCGTAATGATTTTCGTTACGAAACTTTATTATTGCTTAATTTTTTAAAGGAACGTTACTAAATACTAACGTAGTAAAGATTTATTTTAATTCTTTTCGACAAAAAAAAGGTAAGAAAAATTTTTTTTTAAGAAATAATTTACAATCATGGTGATAAATTCGAAGAATATTTTTTCTTAAAAAAAAAAATTGATAAAATTCATCGATATTAAAGAGGGGAGAAAGGAGAAAGAAACTAAGCCAAAATGTGATATCTTACTTTATTAGAAAACGGGAAATAATATAATATATATATATATATAGACAGTATCTATGAAATTATATCTCCAATAAAATGAAATCAATTCTTCTGCCTCTAAAATAAAATAATTTCACTCGCAACATCACTAAATTTGAACAATGCTTATGCAACCATCACGTGATATAAGTTTATAATTAATTAATAGGACTATTCACAGGTTGTACCATTAATTTCGAAATGAAATTACCAAGATTTTATTAAACTATGCAATTTATATAAGCATTTTTACCATTTTTTCCATTGGTTAATATATCAATTATATGCAATTTATATAAGCATTTTTACCATTTTTTCCATTGGTTAATATATCAATTATGATATATTTTGACCTACAGAAGTTCCTAGATTCTCTGCTAAATTTTGCTTCATAATATGAAATGGAAAAACCTTCGCTGGAGTACAAACTTTAAACCATTTGGATAAATTGGTTTCAAAATTAGTGGAAAAGAACAAATTTCAACAACCAAATTTTCAATTTCATCCTCATCCCAACTACCTTTCATGTAAGATTTATTTATTTTTTCATTATTATTAAACCAATGATAATGAATTACTGGTTCTTGAATAAGTAAATTAAAATAAAAGATTCTAATAACATTTAGAACCAAATCTTTCGCTAATGAATTTACATATTTTTTCCTTTTAATATCATTAATTTTACGATATTTATTCATCATCCTATTGATCTTTTTTGAGATAATATGAATAAAGTTATCATCATCGGATGATGTCATTATCATATTTTGATAAACTACAATATTATTAATATTATTTGAACGTGAAAAATAGAAATCCGCTTGAGCAAGTATTTCTTCAAGTACGTGGCGTTGTAATACAGCTTTGATGAGTGGTTTGTTTTGATCTTTATAAGAAATCTTTGATTGACATCCATATTTAATTAAAAGTTTTTTTACTTCATTTATATTAACATCTATTTTAGGTTTCAAATTTGTAACATAATTCTCCAAAGTATCATGTAATTCTATAATATCATTATTAAATATGATATTGTCATCATTTGAATTGAAATTCGTTGCAATTCCAACTTTCTTTTCTAAATCTTTATTCTTTTGTTTCAATGATTGAATTTGAGATTTTATTTCCTTTAATTGTTGTTCTAATTCATTACATTGTAATTCAAAAAGTTCCTTTTCTTGTTGAATGTTGATGTTATCATCTTCAAGAAATATATCAATATTATTCTCCATTTGTGGTTGTGTAGTTTCATTTGAAGATTTAATATAATTGTTACTAATAATTGTCACGTTAGCCATTTATTACCTATTATTTTTTTTTTTAAAAAAAAAAGTCACTTTAAAATATTAATAACAAAACGGAAAATAACTAATAAAATGAAATGTAAAAGTCTTAATAATTAAACTAATTATTTCAAATTATTTATATAAAAATTGAATAAATGACAATAAAACTCCTTTTATATTTAAACGAAACTTATTGGTGCTTGTTACTTGTTACAAAGTTAAAAGTTAGGAAACAAAAAGCTTACACAATACCCTAAAACGTTATGGGGTATATAAGTTTTACACAAATAATAAAATGCCTTAACGGGAAACAATTACGATAAAATATAAATATAGTAAGATAATCGTGTTGCTGATTTTTCAATAGTTCCTCCTCCTCCTTTTACTCCTTTTATAAGAAAATTATTTTCAATTGTTTTTTTTTTTTTATTCATGGTTAGAATTAAGAGAACTATATATCTATTTTAGGGAATATGGCTAACTATTTAATCATATTATTCCATTTAAAAGGCATCTTTACACTGATCGCTTGGTTTTATCGGGAATTATCACTGGATCATGCGAAAGAACCTCCTTTTTATTTGCATCACTCAGCCCATTTTTACATGATTTTTTTTTGTATATAATTATTTAACTTTGGATTACTAATTCAATTACCAACCGTCAAAAGATTTTTTTCTCATAACTTGCAAAAAAAAAAAAAAAAATTTCTCTTAATTTTTTTTCGTCAGTTTCTTTTCTTCTTTTTGATTATATCATAAAATGTCAAACTCAAATAACAACAACGCTATTCGTGTAGTGGCCGCTATAGGTACGTAAAAAATGTAATACTTTATTAAAAGTATTGCCTTTTTAAAAAAAGTATTATTTTTTCTAAAGTAATAATAACTTATTAAAAAGTAATAACTTACTGAAAAAGTAATAACTTTTTTTTTAATATTCCACTTAATTTTTCATTTTACTTAATTTTACTTGTTTTAAGATTTTGGGACTACATTTTCGGTAAGATATCAGTCTATAAAAATATATAAATTACGTATACGTTACTTGATTACGTACTAAATATTTACTTAATTAATATATAGGGTTTCGCTTATGCTCATAAATCGAATCCAGGGAATATCATCGTACATAATAAATGGCCAAATTTTAGTGGTTACTATAAAATTCCAACGGCCGTAAAATATGATGAATCATTAAATTTAACATCTTGGGGATATTCCGCGTTAGCAGTAAAACCGAATAAGGATATTAAATCTTCTGATATAAAACCTGCGGAAAAATTTAAATTACATCTTAGTAATATGGAAAATAAACCTCCTTTACCAAAAGGTTTACATCATGAAACTGCTATAACTGATTATCTTAGAGAAATGGGTAAAATTATGAAAGATGCTATTAAAAAGAGTTATCAAAATATTGACTTCTTTAAACAAGTTTTGATCATCATGACGGTAAATTTGTGATTTTCTTTTTTTTTTTATTTTTAGAAGATCTAATACAAATGGAAAAAAAAAATTTCTTTATATAGATTCCAGCTGAATTTGATATTCAAGCTATTGATACTATGCGTGAATGTTTGCTCAAAGCTGAAATTATTGATAAAAAGAAGAGTGAAAACTTAAAATTTACCACTGAACGTAAGTACAAAAATCTTCATTTATTTTTTTTATACATTGTCACGTGAATGACTTATTTTTATTATTAAATATCCAATTAGCTGAAGCTGCTGCGATTCATTGCATGAAGATTCTAAAAGAACTTAGAATTGGTGTTGACTGTAAGTTTATAAAATAAAATTCATCAAAATTTATTTATATACATACACATTTTTTTTTAGCATCGTACATTGTTGTCGATTGTGGCGGTGGTACTGTTGATTTGACAACTCGAAAACTTATGAGAGGTGAAAAAATTGGTGAAATTACCGAAAGGAAAGGCGATTATTGTGGTGGAATTTATATTGAAGAAGAATTTCTTAAATTTCTTGGCGAAAAAGTTGGTTCGTCAGCGATTAATCTCGTGAAAGACAAGCATTATAGTCAATTACAATATATGTTACAAGAATTTTGTAGACGTGTTAAATTCCCATTCAATGGAGAAAGAGATGATTTTAAACCTTTTGATTTGGATTTAGATGGTAACTTATTAAATATAACTTGTTTTTCAATTTTAGAATTAATAATTTATTAAGTTATTTTATTTTTCTTAAGAATATTGTCCAGTTATTAAACAATATGTTAAAGGTACTGAACTTGATCAAATGGAAGAAGTAGAATGGGTTATCGAATTGAAATTCGAAGATGTAAAAAGAATGTTTGATCCAATTGTAGCAAAAATTTTATGTTTAATTCGTACACAACTAAATGCGAATAAAAATTGTAAGGCTTTGTTTCTCGTTGGAGGTTTTAGTGAATCCAAATATTTACAAGCAAGAGTTAGAAAAGAATATGGTCAAAAAATAAAGAATATCCGTGTTCCTACAAATCCAATGGTAGCAATTGTAAAAGGAGGTAAATAAAATTATTATCACTATTTGACACTATTTGTTCACTATTATTATTATTATTAACAAATTTTTATTTAATTAGCTGTTCAATATGGATTGAGACAAGAAGTTGTTGCCACTCGTGTATTGAAATGGACATACGGTAATTTATATTAATAAGTTAACTGAATTGTAAATCGATTTAATTATAAGACTAATTGAATTGTAAATTTAAAATTTTTTTTTAAATCATACTAGGAACTGATGTTGCTCGTGGATGGAAAAGTGATGATCCAGTAAATCGAATACTTCCGGGTGGTATTGTTATCGAATTTTCAAAATTAGCGGTTAAAGGAGAAATATTCCCAGTTGATGCAGGAATACAAACAGTATTTACTCCAGGTCATATATTCCAAAGTGAAGTTGGGTTCGATATATATACTACTGAAAATGAGAATGCAAAATTTTGTGATTCTCCTGGAGTAAAATTACTTGGTAATTGGTCTATTAATATCCCTATAACATTAAGTGTAAGACCTATATTATTTATCATGTCTTTTGGAGAAATTGAGATTGAGGCTCATGCTTTTAATTTAGAAACTGGTGATAGATATGACAATACATTTGAATTAGATATTTAGGTTAGATTTTGATAGCATTTTTTGATATTATATGATAATTTTGACATAATTAATGAACGATTTGTCAAAATTTACGTATAAAGTTGGAATGGACAAATAAAACGGGCATCATCATCGGGCTCATAAGTGCTTATGAAATAATAACTTAGAAAAGGATATAAATGATTTTTTTTTGTACAGTCACAAATTGAAACAAGGATAAGAGTATATCATGAAACGGAAGACTTGTATTGAATAATAATAATAATAAACCCAAACTTGTATATAATAAATATTTTTATTAAAATGGCAAAAATTTTGTGCAATTGTCTGAGGTTTAACCACACGATAAATTTAAATGTCGTACATTACAACTACCCCTTTTATTCCGGTCGAGGAGTCTAAAGTCTAAGCTGTATTGACCACACAAAAAATGTGTCAATTTATTACATAAATTTTAGTATGTACAAAGAGTAAAAAAAAAATAATAAAAAATTTTATTTAATGATAAGAAATGAAATATACAGTATATTATATTATATATATACTGTACACATATTCGATTGTCCTATAGGCTATAGTGCCTTTTTTTTTTAATAAACTATAACCTGATCATTGATTTTGTCGTGAAAATGATAACTTGATTCGTCAGGTTCGGTTACATTAGTTTGGTCGGAATCATATTCATCCGACTCATCGAATTTTGTTGCATTTGAGTCGTCATTTGATGAGTAAATGTATTTAACCATACTCATCAATTTTTCTCCTATACTTTGTTCTTTAATAATATGAATTGGAAAAACCTTCGCTGGAGTACAAATTTTATCACCATCATCTTCTGGTTTATAAATCATAGGGAATGAACAAACTTCAACGACCATATCTTCAATTTCATCCTCATCCCAACAGCCTTTCATGTAAGATTTATTGATTCTTTCATTATTATTAAACCAATGATACTGAGCCATTGGTTCTTGAATGGGTAAGCGGAAATAAAATATTCTAACAACATTTAGAACTAAATCTTTTGCCAGGGCATTTACATATCTTCTCTTATCAATATCATTAATAATACGATATTTATTTATCACCTTATTGATTTTATTTGAGATAATATCAATAGAATCGTGTTTAAGAATTTCACCATCGGTTTTTCTGATATCATTAAATCCTCGAGTGCCAAGTGCAGTATAAACTTGTTGACGTATTCTTATTGGTGTAATACGAGTTATTTCATCATCACCTAGACGACTATTATAAAGTTTTTCCATTAAATTATTTAATACCACAGTTTTGGAGACTATGTTAGATTCAAGATGATGATCTTTATTTGAATCCTTGAATTCCTTGAAATAGAAATCCGCTTGTGCAAGTATTTCTTCAAGTACACGGCGTTGTAACACAGCTTTAATAAGTGGTTTGTTTGGATCTTTTTCAGAAATCTTTGACTGACATTCATAAGTAAGTAAAAGCTCATTTACTTCATTTATATTAACATCTATTTTAGGTTTCAAATTTGTAACATAAATTTCCAAAGTATCTTGTAATGATAAAATATCTTGATTGAGTTTAACATTATTATTTTGATCATCGATATTAAAATCAAAACTTGTTGCAATTCCAAGAGCTGACTGATATTTTGATGCTTCTTCTTCTAATTCTTTATTCTTTTGTTTCAATGATTTAATTTGAGTTGTTTTTTCCTTTAATTGTTGTTCCGATTTTTTATATTGTGAATCAAAATATTCTTTTTGTTTTTTTAAATCTTCAAGGTCACCGATTTGTTCTTTATATTTTTGGTTTAATTCTTCAAAATCATTACATTTTTGTTTTAGAGCAACGTCACATTTTCGTTTTGATTCTTCAAATTTATCATTTTGATCTTTATATTTTTGATCAAAGCTGTCACTTTGATCATCATACTTTCGTTTTAATTCCTCAGATGCTGACTGATATGTTGATGCTGCTTCTTCTAATTCTTTATTCTTTTGTTTCAATGATTTAATTTGAGAAGTTTTTTCCTTTAATTGTTGTTCCGATTTTTGTTTTAAATTTTCAAGGTCACCGATTTGTTCTTTATATTTTTCATGTTTTTGTTTTAATTCTTCAAAATCATCACATTTTTGTTTTAGGGCAACAATTTGTTCGTCACGTTGTCGTATTAACTCTTCAAAATTATCATTTTGATCTTTATATTTTTGGTCAAAGCTGTCATACTTTTGTTTTAATTCCATATATTTCTTTTCATCATCTTGTTTATCATTTTGTAGTTTATTAACAGTTATCTTACCATTTTCAAATCCTTCCTTAAAAGTAAGGAGTTCATTTTTACAATCATTAAATGAACGATTAAGACTTTTGATTTCATTTTTTAATGATTCATTTTCAATTTCAATTGCTTTCTTTTTACTAACGTTAAAAGGATTCAATTTTATAAATTTCATTTTTTTTAAAAATAAAATGAAAACAATGGAAATAAAAAAAATCCAAAGCGGCTCCAAAGTTAAAACGAAGAATATAAAGCTTCAAAATAGAATGAATGTACAAATAAGGAGCTTTTTTTATATTTGTTGATTCTGAAAATTTTTTCGTAATATGCGACGATAATTTGCGCAATTTTCGTAATTTTTGCTTTGAAAAAGATACAAATTGTTACATATATATAAATAATTAATGGAAATTTCTTTTCCCTTTTTTGCAAAAAAAATGTATCACACAAACGTAAGAATTTTCGTAACTATAAAGAAAAAAAATTTTCAGCCTGGTACCGAATTATCGGTATTAAATATTTTTGGTTATAAAAAAATGTCATCATAATATTATTAAGGTTAATTCATTCTGATTGACCATCATTAAATAGTAAAATAAGTCATGAATTAGTATTACAATTTTTTAATAATTTTAAAGTATTTGATTATTGAAAATTTCTTTAAAAATTTATGCTTAAAAAAAGAACGATATTGTTTTTTTAATACTGCAAGTACTGCGCCACATTAGTACTAAATTATTTAGTATGTGAATTTTTTGGTTAATACTAATTTAAAGTGTTACGGTAATATTTACATGAACTATTCAATTTAAAGTTAGTGAAATGTTTGATTGCCTAATAAATATGTAATGAAACAAACAATAAGTTTTTTTTTAAAAAAAAATTTCTATGAAAGAATTATTTATTATTATAAATTTGATATTATTAAAAAAAAAGGTTATTGGATGAATTTTTTTTAGGTCCATTTTTTCTCTTTTTTTTTCTTCACGAAAGAATTTTTCTTTTTTGACGAGTATACAATATATAAAGTTTTATTATTTTATTTTTTGTTTCAAGTGTATCATACATAGATCATAGATTTTTTTTTTTTTTTGATTCTTGGCTTCTTGCGCCATAATACTTGTTATGTATATAAAACGGAAATCAATTTACATCATTTTCATAAAATTTTTATTAATAAAATTTATGTAATATTTATTTTATTGAATAAGAATCCAAAAATGATTACATTGTCAGTTATTGTTATAAATAAATATTGATTATTAAACTTTGATTACAAACTGCAATTAATAAATGTTTCGTATTGTTGTTGCTATAAGTACATTTGTTGCCACGATAAATGAATAATCATTCAATCAGATGAGTTACTCAATTTTCACGGTTATTAATTTAATAATAAATTATGTGAATATCCAGAACCCTAATAAAAAAATTTTATTGATACTAAGTACCGTAAATTACATTTAAAATGGAAAACATACCTTATTTGTTAATATAATATTCGTTATATAGGATTATCAGGGAAATGTGTGGTTATCCTTATTATCGTACTTCAAAATCTCGTCATCAAATCGTTTTTTTTTCTTTTTTTGAACTAGTAATGATGGTAAATATGTATTAAAGTATTAAAAGTAATTGTTGTAATTGTTGTGTACCTACATACTATACTACATACTATATAATAGATATCACCGAATTTTATACGTGTACTGCACATATGGGTACCAGTCGATGGATACGATACTATAAGTGAATGTGCATTCAGAGCCAATGATATGAGATTTTTACAATTTACAAAAAAATTTTCTCGCTTTTTACGTTATTTAATTATATCCGAAGCATTGTACCGGCACTGTATGAAGATTTAAAAGCACCCGACCAATGAATAGGCTTTTTTTTTTTTTTTGAAAAATGCTCAACCAAACATCCAATGATGATGAGTCAAGGCTTGTTGGCTCAAACTTTGGAATACTGACGTCACACTGCGGCAAAACAGTAATTTATTTCAAACCTTATAATACAATAATTAAACATTCTCTACATTTTCTTAATTACTACAACTATTTAAATTTAGTACAGTACATACTGTACATAAATGTATTATATGCAAATATTAAATTTTATTAATAATAAGAATTTATTCAATTTTAAAAAAAAATATTTTATAATTATCTATGTTTAGTATACAAAATCTTTTTCAAATGTAATAAAAGACAGTAATGAAGTGCATAACTAAAAAATTTGATAAATTTTGGTGCTTGAGATTAATAAAATTTCGCAGTGACAAAAGTTCAAATCACAATTCAACTGGATTCTAATTACAATATAAAATTAATATTTTAACTTGATTGAATATAATTATTTCCATAATTTTTAACTTTTTCAATATGTAACTTTGGGTGGATAATTTCAAAGTCTTGGTCTGTGGTGTGTTTATTTTAAATTTGAGAATAATAAAGCGTTAGTTGCAAAAATATTTTTTTTTAAAAAAAAGGAACCCTAAATTTTTTACAAAAAATCATTTTTCAATTTGTTTCAATTTGTCAAATTTATATAAAATGAAATTCATATGGCTGATTTACAGTAACTCATCATATCCTAGTGTTTCGGACGAAACCTAAATAAGGGAATTATAACAATGAAGATCAGACGATCCTAAGTGTCTCTGTCACGCAAAAATCACATGACATTTTTTGTTACTACCCCGCGTTTCATTTTTACTATATACAAAAGGACGATACTAGTGGGGTAGTGGGGTTGCAAATCCATTATTATAATTTTCTTTTTCAAATTTAGATATATATATATATATAAATATGTATATATTCGGCAAAAAAATGATTTATCTTATACTCATCATATACATATCAGTACCCGTATTAATACAGAATTATAGTATACTAGGATTTTCTGCATTAATACGGGTACTGATATGTATATGATGTGTATAGAATAAATTATTTTTCGACCGGTGAGCAAGGTCATTTTGTATCACACATTTCTCTATATAATATCTATTTCGATATTAAAAGGTTGAAAAAATATTTTACTTTTTCTTTTTTTATAAAAAAAAAAAAAAAAATGACTGATCAAAGACCAATTATTCTTTGGGCTCATCCGAGATCACGTTCCACGGTTTTTGAACGACCATTTCTTCAACTTAATCAAGAATTTTATGTTGTTCATGAACCTTTAGTCCCAATAAGAGTTGCACATTATACAAAAAATGAAAAAATTCTAAATAAAATTCAACCACCTAAACCTACCGATCCAATTACTTTTCCTCATCATTTTACACCAACACTTAATGAAATAATTAAACCACATTATTATAATGGAGATCAAACAAAACCATTAAGAGTATTTGTAAAAGATTTTGCAAGAGTTTATTTTAATGAATCAAAAGGAAATCCACTTCAATCTAAAGAAGTACTTTCAAAATTCAAACATACATTTTTATTTCGTAATCCTGAACAATCAGTAAAATCTTATTATAAAGCTGCAAATGCAAGTAATAAAGCTTGGGATGAAGTTAATGCACCTAATTCTAAAAGATTTGAATTTTTTTCTGCTGAACTTATTGGACTTAAAGAATTGAGAGATTTTTATGATTTAATTAAAAATGTAACTGGTGAAGAAATCGCTTTAGTAGATTCTGATGATTTGGTTCAAGAACCTGAAAAAATTTTGAGAAAATATTGTGAAATGGTTGGAGTTGAATTTAAAATCGAAATGCTTGAATGGAAAGCTGAAGAAGAATTAAGATTTTGGGATGTAACCCTTCCAGATATTCATTATTTACCTGATTTGTATAAAATATGGCACAAGTATGTATCTATATGTTTTTTTTTTTTTAATTTTGTTTATTATTTTTTATATATAATTACGATATTAATATATATATCTAAATTAATAGGAATGCGATAAAACATACAGGATTTAATGAAACAAAAAAAGAGGAAAAAGAAGAAATCGAATATCCTCAATATGTTTATGATATAATAGCCGAAAATAAACCTCATTATGAATATTTGTTACAATATAAAATTAATATTTAAAACTTTTTAATATGTAACTTGATGGAGATTTCTCATGAATATATACAGTATAAATTTATAGTATCATAAATAAGTTGTTATAAATATTGTTCATATATCATGTAATATGTTTAGTTTAAAAATTCCATTTATAAAAAAACAAATTAATAAAGTAATTTTAAAATTTTCCAAGTTTAGTTATTAAAAATGTTCTTACATTCAAAAAATTCAATTTTTTTAGGAATTCAGACTTGATAAATTTTTAAAATTTAGGGAAAATTTTGTTTTGTTTTTCTTGTATTTAGTAATCAATTAAATTATAATAAATGACAAGAATATAATATATATTTTATTTAAGAAATAAATCATTGCCAGAGCAACCAATACATAAAAATACAATACATATATTACTGTTACATAATATAAATAAAGACTAATTATTTTTGTTTAGTATCTTTGCCACCATTTCAGTAGAAGAGTATATAATAATATTGATTTTCTTTTCACCAGAATAGATATGTTAGAGTTGATCAATATGTAGAAAAATAATTAAAAATTCTATTTTGTAGTTCCATTTTTACTGCACCTTTCACTTCAAATACTTTGTTATTTTTTAAGGTTTGGAATACAACACTATCAGCTATAAATGTAACCTTATATAAACCAATTTGTTCAAATCTATATCTTTAAATGATGGTTTCTGATTTCATATTATTTACAAGAAAAAAAAACTTTGATTGTTATTAGCATTATATATTGTTACTTCAAAAATATCATTTATTCCTTTATCAAATGAAACAATTAAAAATAATATTTTACATCAGCAAGAAATTTTTCAAACTTATTAAGTATTTTGGATTTATTAGATATTTTAATCTTATTAGACATCTTGCTTTTCTAAATATAAAACCCATTGTGAAAAAGTTTCATTCTACTTAATGTTAAAAACATTTATTTGTATAATCTTATTAGATTGAAATCAGATTAAAGCATATATAAAGTTTTCTGATACTACTATATCACACAAATCAAAATTATATGCAAACTAAAAATTATTTATTAATAATTACACATTACAGTAACAAATAATTACCATATTTAAATTTATTTTACATAAGAAATTACAAATAATTCAACTACATTTCTAACTAACATTTTCATTGTAAATGATAAAAATTACAATATAAAATATAATTTTACATCATAGAAAGATTTCATCTATATTTTCTTTTATTATAAATGAAATGTTATTATCTAGTAGATGTAATTATTTTCTTAAATTTTTAAAATAATTGTTACTTAAAATAAAGAAATGAATTTCTTTTGTAATTTTTCTTGTTTTATAAACTTATTTTAAATAATTGCAAAAAATTAAAAATTCCCATATAATATGTAATAGTATTAAATGCAAATAGAATTATACAAGAAGTTAATTTAATAGCCAAATATTTTCTTTTATTTGCTAAAAAATAGCCAATAATATAAATTAATCTTTTATAATTTAAATGCTGTGAATTTTAACATTTTTGGCATTTTTAATATATTATTGGCTTTTTAAAAAATGATTTTAGTACTATTCAAACTGTCTCAATAAGAGGATTTCAATGAGATATTGATTGCCTTTCTATCATTACTGGATAGTGAGTTATTACGCAATATTATTAAAAAGTCAATATAAACAAACTACAAATTAAGATTGCCTGCCTAAACCTCTCCAAAATTCTACGATTAATTTCTCCAAAATTTTACTATAGTTTTATTATAGTTTTGGCAAAGTTTTGGCAGTTTTAGCATTTATAATAAGTTTTGTCAGGTTTCGCTTTTCTTCAGAGTTTCGCCAACTTTTTAATAAGACTTTCATATAGTTTTGGCAAAGTTTTGGCATTCAGGCATTTCGCCAACTTGCCAAAACCCCCTAGTTTCTCCAGCAACCTTACTACAAATAGTTACATATGCGCAGATCTTAACTCTAACCCCAATTTTTAAGACGTAACCCCAAATGACGGTCATATTAAATTGGATATGGTAACACTACATCAAACCATTTTATTGGTCGATCTAATCTGTAACACAAATTTCATGCAAAAAAAAAAATTCACGAAACTTTGTAAAATAATTACGTGGTTTAAAAAATTATTCCTAGCTTCTAATTTGCAAATGTCTGACACACAAGAAATTCATAATTACCCCTTTGACTCAATTATTAATTTTAAAAAATCAGGACATAGTTTTTCATATAAAATTATAAAAGAAGGAACGTATCCTAATAAATCTTTATTAGCGTACACTCTTCCTCCTAATAAATATCGAATCCCTGATGATTATATGGTAGAAACAACTTGGGGTAGAAGTAATAATCGATGTGTTGTTCAGTGTTTTATTAATTACATTGATAATAAACCAGTTTTTCAAATCTGGTTTGGAAAGTGTTTTGAACATGTAGTATCTTCAGTTAGAAGTGTGACGGATGTTACAAATTTATTTCATAAAGTTTGTACACTAAATTATTTTTTTTTAGTTTTTCTATTTTTTTCTATTTATAAATTAACTTTAAAATATTTATTTCAGGAATATACATCTTTAAAAAAAACAAAAACATCAGGAATTTATTTGTTTGGTCTTCATCTCAAAACATTAGAAATGGCAAGAGAAGGCAAGCGACGTGCACATATATTAAAACCAATTGACCAATGTGGAAATTCCACCCTTACAAAACGTGCTATGAGTATTGGAAAACATATATTAGCTGAATTCAACGAAAAAACACAGAAGCTATATAATTTGGAAGACGTACCAGCATTGGAAAGTATATGTT